CAGTAAAAATGTCACGAGTTCTCGTTTTAGTTCCACCGATGCAAAATGGAACGGCGGCATTCCTTCCTTCCTCCTAGGTGTTCCTGAAACGGTGTTCCAGGAACACCGTTTCGTACAGCACTAGTGAGAACAGCAGGGTGTGTCTTTCAGGCGTCCGGTCTCCGGCCCAGTCGTACTTTGGCTGCGCGTTCCAGGCGCACCAGACGACAAAACGTCATGGTAGGTAGGAAGCCTACCTACATTGGCATTTGTGCCTTTTTTACAAAACTGATAATTCTGAAGCTTTACTAAAAACTACCCCTCAAATGATATCTCAATGTGTCTATCGCCATTTTAATGTTGGCACACCTCACTGTGAAACGTCAGCTTACATCGACTCCTTCGCACCGAGAACTTCACCCGAGTGGAACCATTTTCGAGCATGGTCGATTTATCTATTGAAAGAGGCATTAAATAATTGCCTTTTTTCTTTATTTTTAACGATGTTGCATTTTTTTGTGCACGCTTTTATCGTTTATTGAGAGTGTGATCCCTTAACAAGCAGAACCAACAGCAACTTGCGTGTAGCTTGAAAACAAGAAAACAAAGAACAGCGCATCCTCGCAGCTCCAAGAGCGAACCTGCCAGCTTTGCACTTGCACAGTCAACGAGCGCGAGAACAATCCCTGCTATATTCAGCCGAGAAATGGATGAGCCCGGTTGGAAGCGTGCGGGACAGCCTACACCTGTGCAATGCGAGGTTTCGGACGAATAACAGGATGTCTCACGAGCAGCCTGTGGCCGCTATGGCCTCCTTATCGTGTCTTGCTCTCGGCCCAAGTTAAATGCGTGCACAAACAAATAAAAGTGTTACTTCAGAAGAGGTGTCACTCTGTCCAAAGTTCGACACTTGCTGCTTTACTACAATTGTAGTTGTGCCTAGGGGTTATCTACGATAGGTAGTGTGAGCCTAAAAAGTGTAGAACTTTTGTAACCATTTTCTTGCATTGAATGTGGAAGTCGAAACAATTTGTAACATTGCTCTTCAACTCAGAGCGTGTAGAGGAGTAAAATTCAAGCTAAAGTTTGGATACTGGAAGAACTGCTGCAAAAACAACTCAAAGCTTTTTTTTTTTTTTTTTCCCATTTTTATTTGGCTGATTTCTTCATGGCCCCCGATTTGCTTGAAATTTTGCTAAACTCGCCAAACAACATCGCCAAAATAGTATGCCAAATATTAGGTCAAAATAATTTTTTTTCACAAAGTTATTGAATTTACAATTTTGGTCCTCACCGTGTTTTTCAAACTGAAAGTTTCTACTGGCAACAACGAAAAAGTGACGTCATTGGAAGTGCAGGGGTTCACTCTTTGGACTGTAGAATTTGTTCCCAACTGATTCGAAGCAGTTTCATGGTGTCAAATGAATGCTTTGGAAGCTCGCTCCAGACCCCGCGCTCCAGCACGGAACAAATGATTGGCATATTCTATTTTTTAGACTGCTCGCCCGACTGGTAAGCTAACCTTCCACTGGCGTCACGGCCCTGAAAAGAGCGGGTATATTTGAATGTTTGTTTTTGCATTATTTTCATTTGCTGATTTCGCAATAACTATTATGAATTTCACGATACTAAATAGCATACCAGAAAGGGTAAAGGCCGGGGAGTCAGAAAATATAGTTAGTTGAGGTAGCTCAAAAATCGGCGGAGTACCCCTTTAAACATTAAATACTTTTATAATATATTGTAAAGGAAGACAGTGAGCCGACTTCTTTCTCCTCAAACACTGCTAAACTCTTCCTTTTCCATCAGCTCGAATAATGTGACAAAAGAGCATGGCAACAGGTACGACAGAAAAGGATGTACATGTAAACTACGAGTACAGCTCGATCGTATGCAGGAAACCACGGTTATTCCGTTGTTCTCAGAATTTCCGTCAACTGTTGCCAAAGCACCCTGCAATAACTTCCGAAGCCAACTGCACTAAGTGGATACACCAATCCTGACTGCTCGTCTCTCCCTGTGTGCTACATTGTTGGTAATAACATATATAAAAACATACTGCAAGAGTTAGACAGATCCCTTCGAGCAGACTACAATGTGTACGGAGGCTATCAGTCGTACAGCTGCACTGTTTCTCATAAAAGCAGCTCTGCACACAGCTTTTCACATGTTCGAAACTTCCGGACTAGCACTTAAAATACTGACAGACTTCCAAAACGGAAATTAAGGAGAGCTCTTGGCCGTGGCTCCTAGAAGCGCCCGAGGGACATCAATGACGTTTGACCTCGTCACAAGCTCCCCACAATCACTCACCGATCCATACTTGGCAGGTTCACCGCTTAGGCTATCCTTTAAAATGAGTGAAGACTCTGAGGTGCCGGGTGATGATCTTTCCATGATGCTCACCAGACAGCTTTCGAAGCAACCTCTCCTCTTTGCTTCAAGAGCGCCGGATGCGAAGGGAGATAGCGACTTTTATCGAGGAAGGAGGCGGTTCCTACCAGGCGGGACCTCGGAACCCGCTAGAAGAGCGCTCCACACGTACCGCCCGCGTTAGCGCAGCTGACGGGCCACGCCACCGAGGCCGGCACACGCTCGTGCTTTAAAACAAACAGCCGTACGTACCCTCCTCCTCTGCCTTCGAATCCCCAGCTGCTCTCAGGTAAGTCGTTTCATCCTCGGTTTATTCCTCAAATTTAGATCGGTCGTGCAAAACACGTGGTGTTTGCACGGCCACTTCTTGCAGCACGTCGCGTTTCGTTGGAAGACGTATTGTGCTGTCCGCCGTGATATGCGCAAATTTCGAGTCGGAGCCAGTGGGCGTAAGAAAGGACAATTGGACGGCTCGCGACAGGTACGGTTGTGCATGCAGGCATTCCGGAGAGCGCCACATGGTCAGCATCTTCTATCCAGACGCTCCGACTCAGCGCAGAGAGCTTTTCAGCGTGCGCTCCAAGCAGAAAAAACGCTGAAGCTACGTGGAGTTGTGCTTTAGGCATGTTGATGCTAAAAACCTTTATTTTATTGTATTTTTTTGGCACGCTTAACCGACAATTGGCGGTATAATAACACGCCCGTCATTAAGCTTGCTTTGTAATGCCGGCGAATAAAATCATAAATTTTCGAACAAACGCCAGCAACCCCTTTTTTTTTTTCTTTTTTTAACGATTTCCTTTTACCGGTTGCAGCCACTAACGAACTTTTGAATTTTCTGTGAACAAGGGAGAGACAGACTGCCGGGGTCGCCAAAACGCACGTCTCGTTCCCTCGACTGACACAAGCCACTGTTTGCCGTGATCTGCAATTTCTTTTTCCCAAATACGGCGAGCGCCCGGCGCATATGGACGAGTTAACCCCACTCACGTAAATGGTCGTGGATCTACCAAAGATGGTCTTGAGCATCTTGGACGGTGGTCAAACTTCCGCGTTAATAAAATCACAAAGTGAAGAGTGATTTCGCATCAATCGCAGTGTTTCTGACCATTTGATTATGCGGCATATTTGGCATCGCGCTAGAAAGCCGGCACCGTAAAAAGAATGAAAGATTAAACAAGACACACGGGAGTGATGATGGTGATGACAATCGTACGATCGTGCCGCCACGAGGTACAAACTAGCAGACGACGGAGGAGAAAACCTCACCGCAAAATTGGAGTAATAATAACGCACTTACTCGAGATGGCTTCGAAAAATCATAAGACCCCCCGTTCTTTGACACGAGTGCACTGAAAGTTTCGACTATCGTCATGTTAGCGTGCTATCTTGACAACGACGCAGGAGTTTATTGCTCGGAATGGTCGACTGCGCGTACGTGGCGCGTACAGCCAAAATGCACTACAGCATATTCGCTTTCTTATCGCGAGGCAGGCAGAAGAACCTTTTGACCCTAGACACGTGGGGAAAAACGCGGAACAAGCAAACGCGCAAAGTTGTTTTTCGAGTTTCGCCGATGTGAGGAGGTTGAGGAAGAGAATGGTGTCCGCCCGCCCAATTAAATTGCTTGTCTCGGTAATAACTCTATGGTCTCGGTGAAAGGACGACCCGCACGCCAAACGCGTTTGTGTGACATCGAAAGCGCTAGTTTCAATGCGAGCAAATCAGGCTGCGTGTTTGCAGCTGGCGAAATCGAAAAATACCTTCTATAAAGAGAGCCCCGACTCCAAAACATAGTGAAAAGAAAAAAAAAAAAAAAAAGGGGGGGGGGGGGGGGGAGGGGGTGTTGTACTTGCGATTGTAGGTGTAGTACGACATGCGTTTCGGGAGCAAGTTGGCGAGTCTTTCGACAGCGCTGCAACTTTTTTTCTGCGAGCTATCGCGTGTCGGCGATACTTTGAGCTTTTATGAGAGGTAACGCGAGCGGTGGTTGGTGTGCAGCTCATGCAGTTTATTTGCGGTGTATGGGCTTCATTGGCATTCTTGTGATCAACACAAAGCTCACCCCCCTCCTTATCACAGTGATTACGTGTGTTATAGTGATTAGTTTGTTTATGTTACTGTTTTGTTTTTTTTTCGCAGGTGGTGGCAGGCTGGCGTTCTCACCTATCTGTCCAGTCCCGCACACCACCGCACATACCACCCGCGCCCTTCCAAGCGCAGATACAATTAATAATAATAATAATAATAATAATGCAATTAAATGCAAAGGTGCAAGCGAGCTGGACAAGAATGACGAAAATAATCCCTGGAGAAGGGGAACAAGAGGGACAAAGGACAAACAAATAATGCGTTTAATTGCATTATAATTATAACCTTAAATTTGCAAGCTTCACCCTTGTTTGTTTTAGACTGGTGGCAGCTGATAAAACCCGTTTGCTCTACTGACGTCTAACCCCTGGTTAGCTCAGTTGGTAGAGCGCTCCACCTGTAATGGAGAGGTAGCGGGTTCGATACCCGGACCAGGCGGATTTTTTCAGACGCTCACCAGTCACCATAGAGATCATATACTAAACCAGTCACCTAGCTGTGTTTGGAGATTAATGTTTGTCCTTTGTCCCTCTTGTTCCCCTTCTCCAGGGATTATTGTTATTATCATCATCATCATCATGACGATTATGAGAATAAAACGAACCACGACCAAGAGATGGTCGTGAAACGAACTCCCGGGAACTGTGATTTGGGCCAGTCAGCAGGGATTGAAGGAAAAGAGAAGTGCCAGAGGATAGGAGGGGGAAACCGAGCCACCATAGTTTCGATTCAAGTTTCAACCAAATGGTCGAAACTTGTCTTCGATTCGATCCAATCCAATCCAACCAAAAAATCCAATTTTTTTTTTTTTTTTCTGCGTTTACGATTTGTTATTTACCATTACACGTTGACATCACCGATCAAGAACTCTTGTGGGTTGGTGCAGTGCCCTACATTATACTGGCTACGTTAGCATTCCACGAACTTTCAGCATAATACTGATAATACGCCGTAGCATCGTGCATCGTCTCCAAGGCTGTCGCGACAAATATTAATCAGTGCTTTAGTCGCGACCAGGCACCGACGCTCATACATCGAGATCCAGCTGACAATGTTCGAGTACGACGACGACGACCTGGTTTACGAGATAAATGCCTCTCCGACGAGCCCGTCTCGGTTCGACCGATTGCTGCGGTCGCGGTGGGACGACGCGATGGAGAAGGGCCACTTCTGGTACAGGCTGGACAAGCTGGAAACCAGGATCCTGCCCGGAAAATACAGGTTCGTGGCTCAGGTAACCATCACGGACGGCACAGCCTAACCGTTCGCATACACATTTTTAATGTATTCAGCTTCTTTCTCTTAATACGAATGGCCTGCAAGGAAGAGGAGCGGTATTAATTAACTAAGAAACGGTACTTGATTTACTTGCATCGCTACACCAGCAGAGGATCGAAATGTCTACACGAAGTGGTGGTGGTCCCAGGAATTTTTTTCGGGGGGAGGGAGGGGAGAGAAGAGGAGAGGGCTGGGGGTGTCCATGACTTGGGATGCGGAGGAGGGCCTCCCCCCTGGCTACGCCACGGAAGAGATGCAAGCGGAGTGGCATTCAATCCTTATTTTCTGTTTGCACTTTCGCCATCGTTATCTTTAGACTGGGTCGTTTGCCCATTTCGGAGCATGTTTCTTGAGCTCGCCTCGGAATTTATTCCGGGTACTAAAGAAATCAAACCAACCTATGACGGTGTGCTTATATACTGACATGCTGACCTGTGTCCCCAAAACATACCTAAAGAGGAAAAACAAAGCAAGCTAAGTCCCTCTTTATGAAGTGCTAAGAGCACCAGGTCAGAAGAATTGGGATCACACAGATCCACACAGGCAGTTCCCATTTGATACTGTTTGTATACTCCGGTCGATGACCCGCAGCAGATGCTACGAGCCGACCTAGCCACTCCAGTTTTGTGAACTAGCCTTGGGTAAGCTACTTTCAGAAACTAATTTGTTACAGTTATAGTCACTGTCAGATAAAAGCAGCGAAGTTACCGTTACAGTTAGCGCAACGAAAAAGTAATTTGTTACAGTTAAGCTACTTTTGGAAAGTAGTAGCGGCGGCCTTTAAGTTACTTTTCCATAAGACTACAAATCAAGAAAAAAAAGTAGGGTGCAAGTAAAATTGGTGCAGGTTGGCACAAGGCGAGCTTGACACTTAAAATGTCGGAACGCAAACTTTGAAAAGCGCAAGGAATGGCTAGATTGTACTCATTCAGTGACACATTAATGCTGAAGAAACTGAAAAGTAACAAAAAGTAATGTTGTTAGTCTTGTCATTACCTCACAGAAGGTAACAGAACTACAGAGTCAAGTCACATATCGAAACAATAGCGCATTACAGATAAAAGTCATAAAAGTAACGAAGTTACAGTAACGCGTAACCCATGACTGCCGTGAACACATCGCTTCGCCGCTCCCAAAGGTCACCTTGATTCTTACACGGCATTAGATTGGCTTCAATGGCTCGTAGCATCCTCCGCGGTCAATCATTATGTGAAACCGAGTATAGCATTAAATTGGTGACCTCATATATGCGCCCATCCTCTATTTTTTGTGATTATGTTCAAATATTGAGTGGGCGCTTGCTCGGTATTTTATAGTAGGTATTTTGATTGCTGTTAATACTTCGTTATTTTCTTTTTTTGGCGTTTCTATTGTAAAGTTGCTGTGGTGTTGTCATCTACCTATTTTGCTATTGCTGTCATTATGAATCCTCCCACATCACTCAGTCTTCTGTTTTTTTATATGTACTTTGCATTTGTGTAAATTTTGCAATGTCTGCCCCCCTACAATAATGCCCTAGCAAGGGCGCTGTAGGTAACTGAATAATAAATAAATAAACAATATCAGCACCAAATGACTCGTGACAGCTGCAAAAAATAGTACTACCAAACACCTTAAAGGCTAATGCCGTAAACTCCTGTGGCACAGGCAAAAATAAGGTGGAAAATGTTAACAGCGCTCCTGGTGAGCTTGGAGTCTCCCTTAGCAGACAAACTCTTCACAATGCATTGGCTTCGCCTTTCTCCATGCGAGTTGACGAAGAAAAAAGCTCTATCGCAGTTTTTGGCCCCCTTGATTGCTATAGAAAACAATTACAAGTGCATGAGTAGAGGACATACTTTTTCTGTGAGAAATGTATTAGCGCTTTTCGAGTGGAATTTAGCCTTTCTTCCCAAGAAAACGCTTTGATATCACAGTTTGTGTACAGGAGACAAGAAGCAAATTTATCTTTATGCTGTTCTCGTCGCTCAATCCATCAAACTTTTGTCGTTGATATCACTGTTCTTCAAGAACGTTTTGCTCCTGTCTTGCCAAATAGGCAGTTGGCTTATCTCGCTACAACTGTCGTTAACTGAAGAGGTCAAGGAAAGCTGGCCCTGTTGCTGGGTGTGAGGTCATTATCGGATGAATATACACGTTTGCTCAATTGACAAGAAACTAAGTTTAAATAAAAACTCGCCACTCTCACGTGTGCAAAAAGAAAAAAAAAAAAAAAATAGAAGAGTGACTCAAAGGCTGTCCAAACAGGATACAGCAAATGCCATGCACAATAAAAAAAACTGCGTGCTTTTCCTAAAAAAGCGTGAAAGTTACGGTGTGTACACTTTCAGCTAAGACACCTGTTAGATCCTGGCCGCAACAATAGTATGGCAGGATCACATAACTGTTTATTTAAACAGGAAAATGTACGGTTACAGAATAATGATGGACAGCTTGACTGCAACGTCCATGAGTGCGAGACCGCGTAAACATGACTCGCCCCGGCTCCGCAGGGCGGTGCAGCGTTTTGGATCTGCCGTCTGTTCGCTAGATGGCGACACCGTACCCACTCGACACATAACAACATCAACCGTACAAACAGTATGGCTTTCCTCCTTGCTGTCATCTCCTTCCCGTGTTTTCAGGAGATCCGGGACCAACAACAGTGGAGGCCTTGACGACAGCAAACAAAGCGTGTGAGTGACTGTCCGGACCCGCCTGACAGGCACGCTCCAAGCCTTAGTTCAACGACAGTTTCCTCCCGGCAAAAACAAAGCAAAACATACTAAAGTGGATTGAAACTGGAGGAAAACGTTCACTTCCAGTCAAGGAAATGCTATGACTACAGGAAATGTGTCCTGTTTAGACAGCCCTTCACGCGTGCAAAAAAAAGAAGGACGCTGCTGAGCAATGTTACTAGAACTAGCTCAGTTACACAGCTCCCCTAGAAACGTGGGCTCTGTGGCGGTCGCGAGAACTAGTGTCGCTGCAGTCGAGTATTGGCTCTGGCTCCTCGAGCCGATCTGCTGAGCGTGCGATGGACGCTCGTTTTTGCTCCTCTTGTTCTGCTTTGTTTGCTTGTTTTGTGCTAGCTTCGCGTTTTACTTCATCTTGCGAGCGTTCTGAAATATGTGTTCTGTCTAGCCTAGTCCCAACTCCGAGAGGGTGTGCCATGCTGCCCCGTTTTGCACTGAGGTGCGAGAGCAGTTACTTCGTCGATACCTCAGCTCGGCGCCATTTTTCGGGGGCCGCCGAGAGACCCTGTTGATTCGAAAAGGTGGGAACAAGCTCTGCACAGAAAAGACGGGAAACTCACTGCAAAGTGTAGAGTTTGTGATGTGAACTTCGAAGATGTCATCGAGCACTACCGTCACGTTGCCGGCGGTAAAGTTGTTCCTGGTGTGAAGTGGCAGCAAGCACCAGGTGCAATCCCTTGTTTCACACCTTTGTTGAAGCCCAAACGCTCGACATTGAAGAGAAAATCGTCCAAGAAATGCGCTACACTATCTGTGAACTCGGGGTTGAATTCGTCGGCAAAGAATTTCTCGGATGCGTGCAATGCCCTTCAAGAACAAGACGCGATTGAAAGCTCGAAAGCCGATGTTACTCTTACAATGGATCATTTATTAGCGAGTTTTAGTAGACCTTGTTTCCCCCTCCGCTAGCCCTCCACTACGAAGAAACCGCCACTGTGCTTGCGTGCAGATGGCCTTGGCTGTAGAGTTCCGGATAGCGGAGGTGGAAACACGGTCTACTAAAACTCGCTATTAACTGTAATTTTACCATCAGGGCAGTGGATCTTTCAACGCTTGGATAATAAAGCGGCAGGCAAGAATTGTGGAATATTCTACACCCATCTCCTTGTGCAAGGTGACCTACTTGTCCAGAGGACTGTTGTTTTTGATGAACGCTTACACTGCATAGTAAATGGCTACAGCAAGTGTCACAAGCAGCTGTCATATGACATCAAAGATACTGCTCACGTCAGAAGTGTACTGAGGCAAATGCACTGAAAATCTGAAGGTGTGAGCCCAAATCACTGAGCGGTGAAAAAATGCACCATAGAGATGGATTTGTTTTGTCACTGCTGCAGATCTGCTCAAGTGCCTGGGACTGTGTAGAAAACTGCTGCAAGCGAAGCTATCACACAAAAAGAAAAGAATGTTGGAAAGCTGAAGACGCGCAACCTGAGAAGAGCTTTGCTTCGAGCTGTGGCAGCTCGTGGAAAAAAGAAGAAAGGGATCCTGGACCTGAGGGAGAAACTTGAGAAGACTTCAGAGGAGTGTGTTGAGAAGTATTTAGGTGGCCGCCCATCGCTGCAACGGCTCGCATTAATGACATTTTAACAGATCAAAGCAAAAGTACCATGCGGGATGAAGTACAGTGCAGAATGGTTGCTCAACTGTGTGCTTGTGAGAATTGCAAGTCTAAGGGCATACAAGCTGCTAAACAACCTTAAAATGCTGCCACTGCCAAGCATCAGCTGTTTGACACATATTAAAGGGCATACTACCATGTAAATATGGCTTCAGGAGCTATACAAAAGTATATGCACAACAAGGCTCCTGACATTTGGAGTTCCCATTTTGGATGAGATAAAACTAAAACAGCGGTACCACTTTAACAAGTCCACTTACAAAGTCAACAGTTTTGTTTATTATGGTGGAGTGACAAAGGAAGGCACAAACCAGCTAGCTGACCGTGCCGAGACATTTGTGTGGTCTACAAACTTGTTTTTTGTTCGCAATTGCTCTCTATTTTCATCTGGAATTGAGCTTCCTAAATGTTTCTTTTGCTTTCAGTCATGCTTCACACCGAAAACTGCAATGTTTGTCAAGTATTTGCACATTAATTTTACTTTTGCTGTGGAGAGGTGTGTGTGTGAGCGTGCCTGCTGCTAGCCTGCCTCCACTACCTCTGACAGTTTTAATGTGAAAGCATTAAATGGTCTCATGGAGCGAGTCGACATCATCAGCTTTGAAGCCATGCGCAAAGTTAGCCAACGGCACCTTTTACACTTCAGTCCCATTGGCTGGCGCGCGTCGACGAGGCTCCCATTGGCCGCTGCGCGTCAGTTTGTGTGGTGTCATTCTGACTGTGTTATCACACTGTTTTATCACTGATCACTGCATTCGCTCGCCTTTTATCGATTGTATGGCTCGTGGCAATATATACAGCGCATGGAATAAACCAAGGGGTTCGTTCTGCTGGGAACTACGTTGCTGTCTGTTCCTTCCTCGCTCTGCAAGGCACACGACAGTTTGAACGATCGCTCACCCGATGGCGCTGAGTGTCCGCGAGGCAGCGGCTCTACCGTTCCACGCCCCAAGGTCAGCGCGTTTTACGCCGCAGATTAAAGAAGGGAGCGAAGAGCGGCGTGCGTGTTTTCGCATTCACAGCTCATAAGAAGTGCTTAGGTGTACCTCGAGCCTTTTTTGTGTCATCACCTGTTCGGGTAGGAAGCACATGATTATCGCGTTGTTCTTAGTACATAAAGAGTAAGTTTTTACAATGCAGTTCAAATAACTAAAGCTTTCTTTCCACTTCCCAGAGGCAGACCAAACGTGCATAATCCTCACAATGGTGTCGACCTGCATATTGAATTAAGCAATCCTTGTATCTGTGTGCTCTATGATTTGGTTATTGTTGTGGTTGTAATGAACGAATTCCGCCGTTCAAATACGTAGAATTTAATTAATAGTTTGAGCTTTTGAGATAGGAAAAGGGGCTCGCAAAGCTCGAGAACATCGGGGAGCCTACACTTCTCGCGTCGTCTGCTTGCGGAGACTCCAGCTGTTTGCCGCTGCTCGAATTGGTTTTTGGAGGAGTTTCCAGTATTGGTGAAGCTAGATAGTACTTACTAGTAACATCATTAGCTGCCATCACTTCTGTGACAATGATGCTGTAATGATATCAGTGTAATTGGTTGCTCAACGACTTTAATTGGAAAGGGTAATTTATCTTCTAATGAATATCCTAATAGGCATTTCATTTTGAAACAGTTTATAATAAGAAATGCGGACAAACAGTGGTATTGTATGCCACTACGATACACTGAATGGTGAAACTGGGTTGGAAAGCCCAAGGAAAGTCATTTTCTCATTAACAATGTCTTAAAAGGTGCGATAGGCTTAATACTTGACATCTAAGAAAAAGTCCAGGTGTCCATTGAAGAATCCTTTTTCTGATGTGCACTCTCTTTTGTCTTTCGAAATGAATGTGCGCAGCTGAACGTAAAGAGGGCTCAGGAGAGGAGGAAACCCCAGCATGTGTCCTCTGTGGTCATGCCTTTCAACCCTGACCTGTTCAACTTCACCAGGGTTAAAGACTCCGAGGTGTGTACGGCTCCAATGAGCAGCCATATTGTGCATACTTGGAAGCATACGCTGCAACCATTTTTTGCTTCCCTACAGGTCCTATTTGAATTGAGGAAAACTGACAAGTGTTCCACAGCTACCAAGGTGAGTACAGTAATCCCTCATTGTAACAAAGTCAACAAGACGGTCGAAAAATTCTATCTAAGCGGTACTTCAATAAAAGCGAAAGAGCCTAAAAAACAGTGCCAGCAGCCTCGAAGGTGGACGGGTACACTGCGGAACACTCTGACTATATATTTATTCAAAGAAGCCTGGGTTATGATTATCTCGCGGAAGCTTTACCGAGTAAAAAAACAATTAAGTGGAGTTTGCCGATAATTTCATCCGGGCATCAGTTGTCCTCGAACTGCTCCAGGCATTACAGGAATACAGTCACCGCCGCTGCACTCCACTTTGTTTCGAAGCATCCGTAGGATGTTTCGGAAAGCAGTTGTCAATCTTTGAGTCGCGGGTGCATTTTCTCCTGCATGAGAAACTTCTCGAACCCGTCCAATATTCCTTGCTTGTTCTGCAAAATGGTGGAGAGCGTCGAACAGCTGACAGTGGGATGTCGAATTTCTTGACGATTTCGGACTTGGGCCGGCCACTTTCCTGAACTTCTCAGATCTAAGCGACTTTTGGTAAACACTCCCAACCTCCCATACGACGCACAAATGTGTGGAGTACGCTGCAGGTGCACGCGTTGGGAACTTCCGATGGGATGATCCCCTCCGGGCTCCATCGCTCCCTTGACCCGATTCTGACGGGAGTCGGGCGGCGTCAGCCACGGGCGTCGTGAGAAGCGTCGGAATGTTGACGCTGCTCCCACTGCTTCGACGGCGCATCGCCATCGGAAGCGGCACTTTGCGTGCTCTGCCTTCCTTCACTCATTTACTCCATTTTCCCAGTTTGCCGTTTGCTCTCGGTGGAGAAGGGGGACGGAATGCAAAAGTCTCCATGCGCCTCTGTAAGCTTGTGTGCTTTCTGCACCTCGGCATTCGTAATAAACATGGTGGGCCGCCGATATACCTATAATTATCCGGTTAAAAATGTGTGCATTTCGGCCGAAACCATGTTGAACTTCAATAAAAGCGATAATTCGAAAAAGGCGATTTCGTTATAATGAGAGATTACTTTATATTCTGCTCCCTATCAAGACAAGGATAGGGACTTTTAGTAGACCGTACGCTAGAGCTTTGCTCCTCTAGCGGGAGCTCGTGCCGTCACTTTGGAGCATGCACGGGGCCTCTGCAGCCTATGCTGTACTAAAACTCTCTCATGACAGGGAGGTCTTGGAGTTGTCCGGCCCCCAGTGCGAGCTTACTACCGTCCATAATGACAGCATGTGTAGCCAAAGCACGATTGACGGCATAGAGCACATGCTAGAGGCATTCGAAAGAGACTCCCTGTACTTTTCGTCCCATCAGTGGCACATAAAATCCACACTTTTCTGACCTTGGTCTCGGGATTTAAGGTTCTTTCTTTTTTAGTTACCTGAAATAGCACTGGGGTGCCATGATGTGAACCTTCCTTCTGCTTAAATTCTTTTAGCATGTTGACATGCTTTGCACCGCTGAACACACGTTCCTACAATGCATGCCAAAATGTGATTACGTCTCCGAAGCGTGGGCCATGAAATATGGGAGTAACCACACTGTGTTCTTTTAAACTGTGGGGAGTTTGGTCAACAGTGCCACGGTTTATTTTCAATGTGTATGGGTGAAAGTGCCCACTCAAAAAGCCTTTGAGCAAAGTTATTTCTGGTTGAGTTTAAGCACCAATAACTTTTAAAAGTTCTATTTTGGCATATGGGTCCTGAACACATGATAACACGGTGAGCACAACGAGCTAATGTAGCCATGCCAAGAGAAACTGCATGAAGGCTCCTTAGCCTATAACAGTTACCTTACAATATGAAGGCAAGCTAAGCAATAAGGTTGTTGAACTACCAAAAGGCCAAAATAAGCTGCGAAATACAATGCATAGGCAACATTGATATTCAATTTCCGAGCTTATTCGTGTCTGCTCATTAATTCGAAGCAGGCAGACATGTGCACAGCTGAGTTCGTCGCTTGATGAGACTGTTCTCCACACACAAGTGCCAGTTGTACATTTACCGAACCTGTTTTGTACATACTTTAATAGCCGGGACATTGTGTGGTGATCAATGTGAGCCCACTGGAGTACTGCAACGCCCTGCTCGTTCCAAGCCTTGCGGACTGCCTGCCACAGGTATGCTGCAGCCGCCTCTCGGTCAGCATGCCACCAGTCAAACGGCTGACGGGCCTGTCGGCATGTTCTCTGCAGGTTCTGTCACCCAACGGTCTGATGCTTGCCATCGATGCCGTGTTGCTCAGCAGCAGTCCGTAAGTGGTTTGTGTTGCAACTTTCCCATCTTTTTCTGTCAGAAGGTTGGCTCGTTTATTATTTTCAACTACCGTAAAATCCCGAGTGATAGCCCACCTAACATGAAGAGCAAATTGGGTGAAAATATGGAGTGGGCTAACTTTCAATGTACAATCAAGAAATGTTTAAAAATTGATATTTTAAGGTCGTGTCCCTTCCGGCAACGAAGCAAAGATATCTGTACTTCCCAGTCAGCAATGTTCGCGTATATCCTACCATAGCTAACTAGCCGCATTTACGCCGAAGCCATCACTGATCCCAGCACTACGATTAATAGGAATGGGCTATCTTTCGGTGTTTAAAAAAATATAGCAAACCAAGCCAAAAATAGGGTTGGGCTATCTTTCGGGGGTGGGGCATCTCTCGGAATTTTACGGTAAACATTTTTGTAAAGTGTGCAAATGCATCATGAACATGATGAAAAACAGCATTCAAACAGCATGTTTTTTATGTTTTTCTTCCTTTTCTCCTCTTCCCTTGAGCAGTTGTTCATCAAGTTCAATGATCAGGATCTAGCCCAACTTACCACTTTGCTGCAGGTTCCATGATATTAAAACCTCTTAGTGCTTCTGGGGTACTCACTCAATAACAATGCTATTCCATCATTATTATAGGAGCCTCTTAGTAACAACAAAATATAACGTTAAGGTGATTGTGTGGTGACTCTGCACTTCAACAGGAATCAGATGGACGAATGGGGTCACTTCATAATAGAATTGACTACCACGCTTTGGAGGTTGGGTATTGGATTGTAGAAAGCAGGGGTGCAAGCATGCAGCTCTGGTAACTTTGCTATTCTTCCGGCCGCATCTGTGCCCCCATTATGGTATACACAGTCATTAAAACATTACTACGACCTCGGACGAGACAGGAAAGACAATGTAAAGTAGCGGGCACTAACTTTGTCATTTCGTGGTATCCTCGTCGAGTTGTAGTAACCTCTCAACCACACCTTGCACTGCTGCCTTTTATTGATCGACAAGAGAAGTATAGTATGACACTAATGCGTGAACAGTCGTTCGTGCTTTGAAGATTCAACTGCTCGTGGTTAGGGTTTCATGTTTTCGGTAAATATCAATAAACTCCGAATATGAACCCCTCAATCAGTTTTACCATTATCGGGAAAAACGGAAAAACTCGAATTGGCGCTGCCCTTGAATAACAAAAGTTTCACTGGAAGAAATCTTGAGTTTTCTTTTGTACGAGTGCTGACTGTTGGGCGAGTTGGTATTGTGCATTAGAAAACATGATTGCGCTTTAGGACAAGGACAGAGGAAGAACAGACAAAACAGAGCACTAACTTTCAACTGTTTAATCAGCAAACATTGCATATACACACTGCTCAACTGCAAAACCCTCAACCAATCTGGCGTCTATCACCGTTTTTTGTGTTTACTTGGTGCCCACACTGAACCAACCATTCCCAAGACTACATTTTTTTTGGGATACCTCGTTTTCTTCTCATATTGGTGCCGGAATGTTTTCCAACTATTCGGGTTTCCTGGAGGTTGAGGAATCCTACGCCTGTGTCCTGTTTTCTTCCACATAAGCCCCAATTTTTTCTCCAACAATATTTGGTCCAACATTGCAATTATACATAAAAAAAACACCTCTTTTGGGGGATGAAATAAACTCCTTAGAAACACCATTTAACGTTAAGAAAAATAAACCTAGAAAAAAAACCAAACCTTACTCATGATGCACCAACATGTTTCCTTGGTCACAGGAAAAAAGAAAGCCCGTTGCTTTCTCAACACCAACAATTTCTATCTGAAGCTGTCCTTTAGATTCGGTCACTCAATGACTGCGCACTTTTACAAGGCGACGTGTCACGCATGCCTCACTGGTGCTCTGCAAACATTTTTGTTAATCAATCCCAATAAAACTAAAGTGCTCTCAATCTGTAGAAAGTGGGAGTCGATTTTAAATACCTATGTTCTTGGTTCCACTACCATTTTGCGTGTGTCTGGGGTTTCGCGACCTTGGCGTTTATTTTGATGATCATCTTTCTTTTTCCTACCAAGTCTTTCAAATTGTCGTATCAGCTGTAATATTGCTGGCTTGATTTCTTATCATATGTGTATCTTTTTTCGTCCTATCTCAGTTTGCACCTTTTAAACTTTTAAACATTATGTACCAACGAGCCCCAACCAAAGTTTCATTAAATTCTCGTTTGACCAAAGATTTTTTAAAATTTATTGTGTATTATTTGCTTATTTTGCAGTCTAATTAATTCTCGGCTTGAGTTTGCAAGTGTTGTGTGCACAGCAACCGATGCATTGAAAATTGAAAAAGTTCATAAGAGGTTTATTCGAATTGTACGTCTATGATCAATATTTTAAACGAAGGTGTTTTTATGACTATGCGTACATAGTCGAGATTCTCGGCTTACAAATGGTATCAAGTCGAAGAGTTGGGCGCGGCTTACTAGGTACTGTTACACTGAATAATTCATGGCCAGATAGACAGCAACATGTTGCCTTAACTTTCACGTGCCTCTACGTTCCAGTAGAAACGCCAGTTTGTTTATACTGGCTCTTAAGAGAAACTTTGTCCGATCTCACATATTCAACTGTATTTTAATGCCATATCATCCAATACTTCTTTGGATGCTTTTTACAGACTAGTATGTATCTTTTAAATGCAAACTAGAAACCTTGCTTCTCACCTAATAATCAAATAGTTTTCCTATATACCATAAACAACTTATTTTTCGCAGGCTCAATATTTCGCGATTTAGGACAATGCTGTAGTTTTGGAATAATTCGGGGGTTTTAATTTTCACAACGCACTGGGATCTCAATACAGATTCCAATGTGTTTACATTTTACCGAAATTGTTCGCGGGACCTATTTTTCACGAATTGTAGGCGATTCGCGAAAATTAAGTCTTTGCGAAAATTAAGTTGTTTACAGTATGTGTTGTTCACGTTGAGCGGACGTATGTGCCCCACATTGAGACTTTGGTCGTTCTGAGGCACTGAATAATAAGATATGTACGTATGTATGTACTAACACATTTTGTTTGAACCCGATGTGCAGTGCTCTCAGGGTCGGCTTCAACAGTCTGGGAGGTTTTGCGTCGGTCAACCACCAGCACTATCACCTCTACTATCTGGAGCACAGGCTACACCTCGAAACAGCGGTGAGCTTACTTTAAAATGCTGGAAATGCCACAAATTAGTTATCTTTGATTGGCGACACTTCATCGATAAAAGCTGGAACTGGCATCCAGGGCGTTATTTTGGAAATTCATCATCACTCTCTACTGTTCCTATAGTGACTGGAAGGGAGCGCCGAAAGACAGGGACAAAAGAAGTAGGTAACGACGACACGTGGCGCCACGTGTCGTCGTTACCTACTTCTTTTGTCCCTGTCTTTCGGCGCTCCCTTCCAGTCATGAACAACCAACTAGCCCAACTTAACATTCTGTTCCTATAGTGGCTTTGAGATAGAGTACTTGCCTCTAGACCGCCGACTTGAGAGTCCAAATTTTGCTCAGGTGCCTTCAGCCTGACCGAGGTTTCGAATGTAGATGCAATCTACATTAACCCTCTGTCTGTTGCTGGACTCTGCCAGAACTTGGTCATAAGCTTGGCATATATGTACAGGTTTTTTGGTTTTTTTTTTAGGTTTTACAGATTTGTTTTAGAAAAGCCAGGAAAGCCACACTAACATCAGTGCAAGTGAGTTCTACTGCCAGGGGTATATGATATAGGGGGCTAATCGCCACAGTAAGCCGGATAATTAAAATTAATGTTTTAATTAGTGAAAATAGACATTTGATTTCAATTAGAAACTTGTTGAGCGTAATTGAACACCACTAATTCAGTAAACTTTAAAAAGGCTTTAAGCATGTGGGATGTGTCGTGGTGTGTTGAAGGTACCGCTCATGCAACAGGTGCAAGGCTGGCAGTGCTAAAACACAGATACTGTATATAACACCAGCATATGCTTATCATTCACATTCTCTCACTGCCAACCTTCTGTTACACTAGCAATATCTTTAGGGCACCACCATGCTTTCCACGTGCTCCAAACCCTTCTAAAAAAATTTTATTTATAGGGATTTTCGATGAATCTCAGCAAGCTTTTAATAGGAACAATATGTTTATATTCACTAATTAAAAAGTTAATTTACAAATATGAGTTTATTTTTCGACTTATCTCAATGATTGGTTCCTTATATTTTGTCCCCCTGGCCATATAACTCACCTGCACAGACCAGATTAGTGAGCAGTTTTAACGGCTTTGATTTTAAACAATCTATAAAACATAGCAAAACACGTTGTATAAACACCCCCATTTTTTTCTCCCTCTACAAGGAGATGCCAATGAGATAACCTGGATGGGTGAATTGGGATAGTATAACTGCTGGGCCCTTCGTAGCAGATGGTGGCTTGTTCCACCTAATCATCTGCTTTGAAGTCCCTCTTTTTCTGGCAAGATTTCTTTTTCTTTTTTTGCTGTTAAGGCGAAAGCTTTACCATATTTACTCGCATAATGAACACACTTTTTTTACCTGAAAAATGGGCACATATTTGGGGGTGCGTTTGTTATGCTGGGTAAAAGTTTTGCATTTTTCACACCTCGTGCAAATGTCATATTAGGTGCCAATATGATATGGCAAGGCACTGTGGCATGCACCACTGATGGAGGCACACCCACGGCTGGTTGGGAGTGCACTACAGTAACCATGCTTTATAAATTGTGAACCTTTTTAGGGCACTTTTGGCGTGCCTTTTGCCGAAGGAAAAGCGTCGTACGAAGCTCACTCAGCATGGAGAGCAATACGACCGTTCTTAGCTCTCACCACTTTCACGGTTTCACTGTCCGAAAGCGAACCACAGATGACGGCGTGTTCGTTGACATTAATGCATCCGATAGGCGAAGAATGTCTGGGGCTGGGCGATTCCTCGACCCAAGCTTCGTCAAGTGTGCGCGCCGCTCGGTTTCGCTGTTGATCACTTCCGCAACTACACACTTGCAGCCGTTATGAGAGCGGCTTGGCTTGACTTGACCTGACCACTAGGCGGCAAAAAAAAATTGGCTTGGTGAGTTGAATGCAATTTGAGACTCACGGAGCCAAAAATTGGAGGTGTGTTCATTATGCGATGGAAAAAAAAAAGTCCAAATATTGGTAGTCGTTGTGGGGGGTGCGTTCATTATGCGAGTAAATATGGTATTTTAGTGACAAGAAAAACCTGTCAGTTTTTCTTTAAAAAAATTATAGAACCCATCCAGTTCACGTGAAGATGGAGGACCAGCGAAGCTGTTATCTTTACGATAACTCTACGACATCCATACGATTTCCATATGATTGCAATGAAGACACATACATAACTTCATTGTCTAATTCTCTGTATTTAATTCTTAGTGAATAAAGTAATCATTGCCTTATGGTCACTTATGGGCAAGTTCTAAACCCAATTTTTAGAGGCACACTTGAGGTCAGTTTGTTCTGATTGAGCCCAAGTCTCTTTATCAGCATCGCCGAAGCGAAAGAAAAGGAGGTTAGATCGGCGCGTTCTGCCTCAGCCTCGTCACAGCGCACTCTTAACTGAGATAAGTTGGTGACTGTAGATAACAACAAGGGATCAGGACCTCACTATCTAATAATGCCAAGGACGGCTGACTCACGCAAGTTGCCCCCTCTTTTTATTTATACTTGCCACGACCAATTGGAACGAAGGAGCGCCGTTTAAGCTGGCGATTTTTGTTAACATCCATGGGCATATTTTTTTTTCAGATCCTAGCACATAACGGCTTCAATGCAAAAACAACAACATCCCCTTCCTTGCTGACAAGTGTTTTCCACCGATATAAATCCCACAAGCGTCCATAATGTCATGTTTTGTTTTGACGATGGATAGGTGGACGTCGGCTCGTAGAGAAATTTAATCTTCCTCGATTATCTTTTTATCCAGGTAACGTCATGCTCACACTTTCGCAATCTATCCCAACCGCTAGCGTCGCATTCTCACAGAGTTCGAGCTTTCTGCGACGCATAGTTTATTTACCCGGGCCGACAAACTCGGTTGTCGTTTTCGGGAGCTCTCTGTACATTGCAAAATTACAGCACAAAAGACCAGGACAGGAACGAACAATAGCTGGTGTTCACTGGCAGCCATAGTTAAGCTCGCTGCTGCCGATCACGTGTTGAGGGCAAGCTGCTGCAACGCTTCCAACATGCACATTGCACACCATCAAGATTGCCTTCCTTGGGAGACCATAAAGAAGAACTCATCCCGAGCATGCTCCGTGAGCAATCACCTCAAATGTGGCATCCAGTGAATACCACCTATGGTACAGGACAAAGTGCTAACTACTGACTATTTACTGCTTGTATAATGAAAAAGGTGAACGAAGCAAATTAAGTGAATAGATGCGATGAATCACCGAAAAAGGAAAAGCAAATAAAGAAAACGCATTTTGCTTTAAATGTGCATTATAATGAACACCTCAAAATACACCATGGAAATAGGATAGAAATGAAATGAGAGTAAAGAATAGCTAAGAAATTAACAGAAAAGAAAAGAGAGGAAAGAAGAAATTAACTTAAAAATATCACAGTGACCCGCTAGATTTTAAGAACGATTCTAGATAATGCTGATCTTTTTGAGACAGTGCTACAGAAGGTGTGCTTATGCACATTTAAAGCAAAACACATTTTCTTCCTTCTCTTTTTCTTTCTTCTTTTTCGGTGATTCGTAGCATTTACTCAAATGATGGCAACGAACAGTAGGTAATCAGTTGTGAGTTAGTGCTCTGTACTGTCCTAGTCTTTTGCGCTATAATTTTGTAAAGTACTGAATGGGAACACCCAATTGTGTGGCAGAAAGTTCTGTCTAAACCCCACCTGCCCATCATTGTGCCTGATGATGTTAAAACTGCCCATTTTATTGCTTCATTGTCGAAGCGTTTATGCCATCAAACTTTGCGCTGTGTATGTCTGGGTTCTTGACACTCCTCTGCCCTGGCGTCTAACAGCAAAGAGCTCATCTGCGTACATATCCAATCAAACAAATGCATCTTCCTCATGTTTTGTTTGCCTGGCTTCCGCATTTTTTCTTTAAAGGACAGGACAAGCGCTTACTATCAACTGAGCTGAAAAGAGAAAGACGAAAATTATAAAAGAAAGACAAAAATAAAATGCTGAAAACATTTGCACAAAAAAAATATCTTCATACATTGTTTTGGAATATTTTTTGTGCAAATGTGTTCTGCATTTTATTGTTGTCTTTCTTTTATCATTTTCATCTTTCTCTTATCATGCATTAAACACTTAGTTGATAGTAAGCGCTTTTCCTTGCTTGTATATTTGTTCTGTCCTTGTCCGTTGCACTTCTCTATTTAAGATGTTTACCCAACTAGCCCCACAGTTAATTTTAACCCAGCTTCATCTTGATCTTTTTCACTCCGTTTTCTGCGGGAGGCGTCTTGCCCACTTGCATGATTTTTTTCCCAATCACACAATTTGTAATGCTCGTGTGAAGTCGAACCAGGAACGCCCTTTTCCTCCTCTCGCAGCGAGTGACCCGCATCTTTGGAGAGTACCATGAGTTGCAAGACTACCCGGCCGAAGGTTTTGCATTCCAGGTGTCCAGAGAGAACAAGGAAGCTGTGGTGAGGTGAGAAACCACAGGGTACAATGAAGCTGTTCAGATGCCCCACTTGGTGGGTTTTGGGAGCCTAAGTAACGCAGTTCTCTGGGCCAGAATTTGGTTTTTGTCTGGCAATTTAGAGTCCTTAAAAGCCCAAAGAAGCCAGACTTCATAGTGCCTAGTCAAACTTTAATGCCAGATCTGGGTACCTTGGCCCAAATTCGCTGAAGAAGTGCCAGAGTTTGGCTTCACTGCCTAGTTATCACCCGACCCTTTTGGGTCCCAAGCAAAAGTCAGAATTGACTTCACTTGTGGTTGTTTGGTTGTTACGTCTTTGAGCCCAAATCACCAAGCAAGTGCCAACATTAAGTTTCACTGCCGTTTTTTTTTTGGTTGTCATCTTAGGGCCTCTTGAGAAAGTGCCAAAATTAGGCTGCACTGCTGTTCAGTTGTCAAGTGGCAAATCAGCAAAAGAACCAGACTTAGCATTTTTCTGGCAAGATAGGGCCAAAGAAAAGTACCCTAACCAAAGCCTTGGAGCAAAACCTTATTAGGCCCAAGTTAGGCTTCTAGAATTGCTAAACTTTGACCAAGTTAGGCCTTTCTCTGGCACCTGGCAGGTAATATAGGCTGTACCCTGCCAAGACACCAATAAGGCAGCAAGAAGTTTGCTCTCGGGAACGTAGCCTCGGTAGAGCCAGCCTGCACTGGAAGGTGGAAACTGCTGCGGCAGAAGGCAAGATGCTAACATGTGTCCCAGTTGGAAAAGCCAGCTCTGCTCAAAGCTACTCTAATATACGGGGGGGGGGGGGGGGGGGGGGGGGGGGGGCTGAGGGGGATGTTTTTCTTTGTACAGATGTAGACTGGCAACACCGTGCCAGTCTTTGTGAAGTTCAAGCACCCACAGGTCTTAACCTGTAGCTAGACTGTTCTGTCAGTGTGTCTGTGAGAGTATGGCAGAGGTGTGCAATTGAATTTCACGGGAAAATTTTCAATGCTCAAAGAAATAACTGCACGGAAACAAGTTCTCTTGAGAGTCGAGGTGATGAAATGAGAAAAAGTAGTGTTGGGCGATATTCGAGTAGTACCGTATTTATTCGAATATAAGGCGGTCACGATTATAAGGCGAGGGGGGCAGTTGAAAGACCCAAGGAAAAGAAAAAAAAAGTCATATTGCTATACTGAACTTCGAATATAAGGCGGGGTATGACTTTGAGAGTATGAATTTTGGAAAAAAACCTCGCCTTATATTTAAATAAATAAGGTAGTATTGAATAATACGGTATTTGTCATTCGCTTCGAGATGAACTGCGACATTCATTTTTTTTCTAAGTGTTGATCGCGGCTGGTTAGCCCCGTAGAGTGCGCTTCTTATCAAGCACCGATGCAATGCGGGGAAGCAACACCCGCAGGTGTGGCTTCTCTGCAGTGCACTGGTGCTTAATAAAAAGCACTCGACGGGGCTAACCAACCACTATCAACAATAGACCATTTGCAATATTCCCAAGCGCTCCGGCCCGCACTCGAGAAATCGTGGGAACGGTGTTCCTTCAGCTCCCTAGTGATCGCTAATTTTGACCAATTCCATAGTTACACACTTCTTCAACGTAATTCGTAGTCACCCTGAACAAGCGCCGGATATACCCTAAGGACCTGTCATATCACTTTTAAAATTTCTTGTCAATGTTAGCATTTTTGATGCTGTGCATGCGATTCACCTTTCAACCTGGCTGAGCTGCAGAAATCTCTTACGTTATTATCATTCTCGTGATTGTTGTTTTAGCAGGAATTGCTTAAAAAGCCGAGAATTCACAACAACAAAAATCATGATTTAGCTCAGACTCAGCGGGACTGTTTATAGCATTTTTAGTGTTTCTAACTTAATATCAGTGTCTTTGAAGCTCTAGGAGAATGATAATAATGCAAGAGATTTCTGCAGCCCATCCAGGTTGAAGGATGGACAGCATGCACAGTATCAAAAACGCAGACATTGAGGAGAAATTTTAAAAGCAATATGACAGGTCCTTGGGGTATATCAGGCGCTTGTTCAGGGTGTCTCCGAATTACACTCCAAAGCTGTGTAACCAAAAATAGGGTCGAAATTACCGGTCACTAATAAGCTGAAGGAACACCATTCCCATGATTCTTTTAGCGCAGGCTGGGGCGCTTGGGGGACTTAGCAGATGGTCTATTGGAAAAGTACAAATATTGCAGCCGCGTGCTTAGGAGGCCAGCCCATTTCCAAAGTGGAGTGGTGCACGCACGCGCCTGATGTATTTAGAAAGAAATGGAAACTTCATGAATGTTGATATCTACACTGCAGTAAAAGTTTCAAAATTAAACTGGCCAGAGATGCTTTGACAATTTGTGTTAATCATAAGCGATTGAAGAAAATATATTTGCATATACCAAGAATATTTTTAAATCCCTTTGATTAGGTATAGCTGGGTGATAGGCTTAATGTTATGTCAAATGCATTATTGATTTTAACCCCAATTTAGGTATTGGACTTCCGAGGGCCACAGTCAATGAATACAGTTAGGTTAAAATTAACTTATATTAGAAATGGACAAGTAGAAGCTTGGCAACAACCTTCACAAGCTCAGCTGGGTTTTTGTTTAAGCATATTGCAGTAGTGAAATACTTAGAAAAACTATTCTGTATTGGATTAGAAAATATTCGGCCAAAACTGCTATTCCCTTCTAACTCAAAATCCACTATTTGCACATGCCTAGAAAAATGGGATGTTAAAAAACAGTCCTGCATTTATCTCTATAATTTTTTTAAACATCCTAAAAAATGTAATGAGTGTGAAGGATGCTACTTCGGAAAATAAAATTGTTCAGAACCTGTGGAGTCATCAGGTTCTGAATAAAAAAAAACAAAAAAAAAAAAACGGTCAACGCTTTTCATTCAGCGCTCGTAGCCAGGAGCAGTTATGAACTTTGTAACGGAGCAAATTGACTACAGTTAAGCACAGTGTGGTACAGTGGCAGTTCATAAAAAATATATATGTGCTCTTTTAGAGGCTCTTGGAACAAATGAATCTCTGCTGCAGTGATGGAAGTGCAGCGCCATTTGTGCCAAATTGTGACATGAACAAAAGTCTGCTACATCTTGTGCCAAAATTCTATTTTTGCTAAGAATTGCACCGCATCTGCGCCGAAATAAGCTTAAGCGAAGCAAGAAATAAAAATATTTAATTATTGGTCAACTTGAATATTCTGAGAAGCTGGAGAAAAGGAAAATGATACAGATATGTATTTCAAAGCGTCTCTACTCACCATATAGCCAATTTCATCTTAGGCCAGAGAACAGTCAAAGGCTCAAACACATATAACCGTATATATTAAAAGCACAAGTCATGGGACATTTGCAGTGTTCTTGACTGGTTTTGTCGATGAAAGAACACTTACAGAAAGATGGATGAATTCCATGATGTCGCGCTTTGACGCTGTTTGGTGTGTCCCGTTGGCTCGTAGGGTCGGCTGCTCTTCAACTTAAGGGGAAACAAAGTTTAGAGATTGCTCGGCAACCGTGCTGGCCGGTTGGGTGCTTTGGCAAGCCAATCGCCAACATTGTTTGAATTTCCAGACGATGTCGGCAGAAGATTGTGAGAAAACATTACAAAATAGAAGGATGGCGGCTGCTGTGATAAGACAGAACTGGGGTCTTGTACTCCTGATGAGATAACTTGATTGTCAGATCTGCCGCATGCCTCCATGCCTTTCACAAGCACACGTATCAAGGTTCACCAATTTGCACCGGAGTGTTAGGAAGAGTGGTCGACATGGGCAAGTGCCTGGGTTAACGTGATAGGCTCAAAAATCACGCTCGGCATTTAGGTCAACCTTCTTTGGTCTTGATTGTAGGTTTATCTTTAATTTAGAAAAACTGTGTCGAGAAAGAGAAAAAAATGTGGGTCTACATTTGAATCTCGAACTGAACGCCAAAAAAACAAGGACAAAAGGAGGAAAGAGTCAATCTCTTTTTTAATTCTTGTATTTTTTGGCATTCTGGTCGAGAAAAAAAAAAAAAAAAAGAACTAGCCCAGTTTACTGCTTTTTTATATTTTAATAAATATTGTGGAGCTGCCTATCGAAACAGCCAAGTGACTTCACTCTGGTCCCGACGGTGCTAAAGAGCAGTGTCACTTTTAAAGCACAAGGTTTTCGTATTTCTGGTTGGTTGTTTTTCTTGCTTATAAGAGCTTAGTAGGTTCATAGAACTTAAGGGTGGGGGGCACATTTTTATACACTTTAGCAGATATGCTGGTTTTTGGACACATTTTACAGAAATCATATATACAGGCTAAATAAACTACCTGGTGTAAAAGTGGGAGGGGAGAGAGACTTTATCCCAACTGAAGTGTTGCACTATATGATTTATTTTTAAACCATTTTTTTAGTACCCATTGTAAATTACACCTACTTTAACCAAAGCCTTATTTCTGAAAAAAAAAAAAAAATAAAAAAAAAACTGCTCATTTTGCACTCAACCTATTCTTGTTACAAAAAGTAATAGGTAATATGGTCCGGTATCAATAAAGAGCCCTCAGTCATTATCAAAGATGAACTCATTTAACGATGCACTCACTCTTTCATTTTAAAGTGATGTGCTATCAGATGTTTGAATCTGCTCCAGAAGCTTCAGTGGCTGCTCCAAAATAATATTTTGCTCACTACAGAACCTGCTACAAAAGGTCAAATGCCGTTTTCATCACTGTTGTTCGTGGATGCTTCTCTATACATCTTTCTTTTTCCCGTTCTGCGAGCACGTCCACATTGTTGGGTCATCGCAGAAACCACACTGTACAGTTTCACTAGTAAAAAAAGTGGCTGTGCTAATCGACACTCGTACCATGTTCCTTATTTTTTGTAACTTCAAATGCTCATACCTGTCAAGGAAAGTTGTGGCAAGCTTCTAATGCTTGCTACGAATAACATTTAAAGGGCCACTGACAACCCCAACATTAATCTTTTTTTTTTTTTTTTTATTATGCCAAATGATTGAAAATGATTTCTAGTGATCTCCCCAAAAATATCAAGCTTGAAAACTGCATATTTGCTAAGAAAAAAAGGTATCTTCAGGAAGCTCGATTTGAAAGGCCCGCCCCAATCTGACACAGTTAGTGAAATGGTACACTCCATGCCTTTTTTCATGATTTCACACAGGAAGTGTCGTTCAACTTCCTCTCTTTCCCTCTCACAATCATGGACATGCACACCTGCCACCTGGCCAACCGTGAAAGTATTTTGGGAGACATTTCTTTGCATTCAAACAGCACGTCACTTTTCAGTTACCTCTTATTTTAGCAGTGTTAGCCAGTCTAAAACGATTTTAAAAAAAAAGGAAGGAAGAAAATGATGTGTAGCAGGCCCATGTAAGCGACGTAAGGGGTCGATGTCGCCAAAGTGCTGCGTGAAGTTCTGTCCCAGTACTACCAAATCTAATAGAGCTATGCCACGCAAGTTTCCAAAAGGTGAAGCACAAAATAATGCGTGGTTGGCTGCAATCCTCGAAGAGAACAGCTGCAGGGCCCAGTCTCATACCCCCTGATCTGTTCTCACCGCTTTGTCGATGAGGACTCCAAGAAAAACCTTAATGCATCCAAATCTATGGGAGTTGACTTCCAACCTCAACTGGAACACGCCACCAATCAGATGAACTTTCCGGTATCGTGCCGTATTGAGACTATGAAGAAAAGCGGTGGGGGGGGGGGGGGGGGGCTGGGAGACGGCCGATGTTTTATCATTAACATTTCCGGCTTCAGATTTTTATTTGTCGAAGTAAGAATTATTTTAAAGTTGGCAGTGTAGTGCCTTTACAGTTGTCGTAAAGAACATATTTTATGAGTAACAATTACGTGCGTCAATGTTGGTCGATGGTGGTGCCGGTGTGCGTTCTCAGTGCTCCGACATCGGACACCATGCAAAGGCCCGATTCCGCCGAAACGAGGCTGCGAAACCATTCGTTCTTGTAGCCACCAGGACCGACTTTGGAGTCGCCAATTACGACGCGTGGGACGTTGTTGCGGCACAAAGCACAGAATCGGCGAAGCATGAAATTGGTGGAAGGTACACTGCGATTGGGCACGTCGAAGGTATTTGCCCATGAGGAACGCGGAAGCCAACCATAAGCAGAGTCATTGCCTCCTCGATTGCTCCTGGGACAGAGTACGGCCTTGGCGTGGCGGCGGCACCATTAGGAAGAGTCTGCGACAGCGACGCCGCAAGTGAAGGCTTCGCCAGTGTTGTTGAGCGGTGAAAGGAGGGTTGATGTTCAGCGATGAGCGGAGGGGGGGATGCATAATTCTCCCTCTTCGTGTGGCACGGCCATGGTAGGTGTGGCTAATGGGAATGCCCGACTTTTCTCTCCAAGTGCCATAAGGGAAGATAAGAAGGGTTTTTACACCTCTGCTGCGATAGCAGACAGCAACAAAGGCCGCCACCGAAATCCTCGCAAAGTGTCACCCATAAAGCTGTCTGTCGCTTGAAAACGAAAAGCACCTTGTTGCCACAATACCCGGGCAGTCCGCTTTCTGCTAGGCATCTGCCCCGAGCGCAAGACGGACGTGTTGTGCTTGGCGCCTCTAGCACTTCCATAAGACTATTCTTGCTGCCGTGGAAGCACGAAACTAGGACCCATGATGGAGCTGTTTCTAAGGAACATGCAAACCCCATAGTGTGTCAATACAGAATATTGTACAAAGTGATAGTATGTCATACATTGCAATTCTGCAAACGACGGTTTGATCGACAGATCAAAGTACAGCTGCTAACTTTTCTGTAGGTTTCACTTTTGCCTTAGAGACGTCCTTCTCTGCCTCGCACATTTGATAACCCCGCGTGAAAGCGTGTGGGCTGGTCAGAAGTTTGAGCCTGTGTGTTCCTGTTTCTGCAGACACATCATGGCACTGGTGGGCGTGCTTCTGGAGACTTCGACCGCACACAACCTGTTTGTCACCAGGGGCACTGCCTTTCGAGAGGGGAGTGTTGGGCTCTCAGTCGTCAGGGTCTACCTCTGGGCAAGGAAGTCGTGCTACGGTAAGCGGGGACGCGTATATGTGTACAAGACTCACCATTGGGCTGAGGTGGTGTTTTCCTGCGCAATATGTGAACACAAATACCGAATGTTCTTGTGGAAAAAAACAATGTTTTTTGACCCATGTAAATGAATTATGCATCGAAGGAAGCCAACATTCAGTCAGAATTTGATGCTACCTGTTGGGATAGAATGCAAAAGTTTGAGAATATGAGGCTACTTGGATCACAAGATATAAGAGAAGGACCAAGTTTTTCGAGAGAAGGACCAAATTTTTTTATGAGCAGACGTCCACCTAGGCCTAATATCGTCGAAACAAGCATTGACATTGTTCAGTAAAAATATTTTGATAAAAAAAAAGCTTGTCAGCAAGAAAGAAAACAATATCCTCTCGTTGCCAAGTATTTTTCACTGACATAAATGTTACGTGCATCCACAATGTCAGTCCTTGTTATGACGATATTGGGCTTACATGGACGTCGGCTCATAGAAAATTTAGATTTTCTCTTTTACATTCTGATTTAGGTAATACCATGCAGACTTGTACACGTTACTGAAAAATAGTAAGGAATTACATTTACAATTACTCAAGGCTAAATTGTAATTTATTACAATTACAATTACCCTTCCATGAAAGTAAGTGACCGTTACCCCAAAAAGTAATCCGTTACTTTCGTGGCGTTACTTTCAACAATATTGTCTCAATAAACAAACAAAGGGAAGAGGGTTATTCAAGCTCTTATTGTTGCAACGTGTTCCATTTGCGCAGAGGCGGCGGCGGAGTATCGGGTATAGTTAATGGAGTCATCGGACCGATCGACTAAAATTCTCTATTCTCGAAATCCCAAAGCTGTAGAAGTCATCATACATCTAGCCAAAACTAGCATAAGAATTGATTTATGTCCATCTTACTATACCGGCATATATTGCCAGACAATAGCAAAACATAGTTGTAACAGTAAGGTGACAATTAAATAGTAAATAAGGTTTGGCTCGATGTTTTTCTTCCTTTGGTTCTGAACAGGTCTAGCCTCGGTTGAGACGTTGGTGAATAAAAAAAAAAGTTTCCAGTAAATCAATAAGTAATCGAAAAAAATGACACTCATAACAACAATTAATTAGAACGTCGGTTAAAAAAAAAATGAAATGTAAACGCACGTTTGCCATGTGTACCTTTCTTGGTGCCGTTCAAAAACGCACGGAGCACGAATCGACTCCAGTTTACTCCGGTGTTCTCCAGATAGACGTCCGCTGATGCCACGGGCAGCGAAGGGCGGAGTACAAGAGAAGGCCGCGCTATGGCCCCACCAAATACTTTACTAAAAGTATTTGGCCCCACTCTCGAGTTTCACTCTCTCCCCAAGCCGAGAATATCAAGTCTACGTCAGCCACCATTATGTTTTATTTGTAAAAATATCTGCTTCAGATAAGATGCGTCCTGCTGGGGCAAAACAGGAAGAAGAAAGGAAGACTATCACCATTTTCAAGATGCCCGCAAAAAGCCGACTCACAAGAAGGGTGACTGAGATGCAGATAACCTTGGTCGAATTTGCAAATAAAGTGGGCCAACTCTAGAAGTTGGACTACAAAAATAGGGTGAAAGAAACAGAAAAAAATACATCTTGTTTTCGAGGAGATGATAAGGTTGCAGCAACGAACGAGGATGCTTGTGGCAAAAGCATCTTCACATATTATCACATCTCTTTTAGTGGAGCGTTGTCTGGTGTTGTGACATAATGAAAATGGTCGGAGTCATTATAAACGAGAAGGACATTGTTAATTCTTGTCTTTGCACTTACCGTCTGGAGCGTCTCGAAGAGGTACACAATCACCTCGCGTCCTCCTCTCTCTATTTTCGATTACGCACACACACAAAAAAAGGACTAAAAAGTGGATACTTGCCGCCCCCCCCCCCCTCTTTTTTTTTTTTTTTTGTAGAAATTTTTTTTTTTTTTACATTATTGTTAGGATCTAGAAAAAAATAGATTTAGGGGCTTGGTGTTGCAAACAAAAAAGGCTTTGCGGAACTGAAGGGTGCCAAGCCTCCCTTTGCGCGTCACAGTGTCACTACGCTCGACTTTACCAAAAAAAAAAAAAACCTTCCTTTAGAAGGGGGGGGGGGGGGGGGGGCGGGGGTTGGTCCTAAAAAAAAAGTAACGGATTACAAGGAATCCGTTATGTAAAAAATGTAAGGGAATAACTTTAAAATTACTCTAGAAAATATGTAATTATTCCGTTACTAAATTACTGGTAAATGTAAGGGATTACAAGTAATTTCGTTACTTGTAACGGATTACGTACAAGTCTGATACCATGTTCTCGTACTTTTGCATTCTATGCCAACTGCTAGCACCATATTCTCACAGAGGTTAAGCTTTGTGCGATGCATAGTTCATTTATGTGAATCGAAAAACACCGCTCTTCTTTCTCAAGGACACCCAGTACAGTCAAACGCCTTTTTAACAAATTTTGCGAGACCGCCCAAAGCATGCATTATATGAGCCACTTTGCTTTTTGAGCTAAAATCATTGAACATGCTGTTTTAGTAAATGATGACACCAAAGCCGGTAGCATGTCACGACAGCGTTGAACTCAATTTGCTCCACAGAATGGACCTCCGTAGATGCAGCACACGTTTGTCCATCGCTTAAGAGGATGTTGCGGCTGAATATCAACTACAGTGTAGACCGCATATAACGTATGTCGCGGGAGTCGCGAAAATCCGCACTATAAGCGGTACCGCGTTATAACCGAAACATCAATTTTTCAGGCCAAAATACATGCCATAAGACAACTTACCCTTGTAAAAGAATTTATTTTATGTTAGATAAAAAATAAAGCTTAGTTTGATGAAAGTCTTTATTTCACCAGACTAGTACACTTCTCTCTCAAGTGTGTCACACATTTTGAAAGAAATGAGCGGCTTTTGCCTGGCGCAGCCTTTTAGCGGCATCGCGGGTTGCGGACGGACGTTGCGAGCGTTCAGGATTGCTAACCCTAATCACTTTTCTCCGGAGATGAAAACGCGTGAAAATTCGCATCCTTCATACGGTACGCGCCAGTAATACCTTGAACTTGAGCACACGCATGAAATGCGCCAAAAAAGAAATCCGGGCGATGTTCGAGGACACAAATGCTTAGAAATCACCACTGTAGTCGAAGTAAACAAACACGACGACACGGGCGTTTCTGCCGTCTTGAGAGCGCCGCCACGACATCGCCGCTCGAGTAGGTGGATCTTCCCTTCTAGTACGTGCTGGGTTATCATAGCGACACACAACGAAAATTCAGTCAAGGATAGCGCTTTTACGCGGAACGATGAGATGAACGCCGTCTACGACGACGATCACAACGTTGACCACAACCAGCAGCCGGCCCGCGACCGGCATGCATGCAACGCGCGCGAACACTTCTCCTCGACCTGCGATTGGTCTGTCGTTGCGGTTGTTAATTTCCGCAGCGGAGGGACGCACGCACGTGAACGACACGTGCGTGCGTCCCTCCGTCGCTAGGGCAACTGAAACCTCTTTCTTCGCTTCTCCCGCTTCTTCGAGCAACCTCCTTGCCCCGCGAGTGCCGCTTGCGCAACGCTTGCGGCTCGCGCCGTCAGCGCAGTTATCTAGTGTCGCACAGGGAAGCGTGCTCGCTGCTCCGGTCGTCGGCGCGGTCGGCGGGCTGTGCCAGAAACCGCACTATAACCGGTATTTCCCTTCGCGCGCCTGCGTTTTAAGCGGTATGTAATTACATGGAGTTCTATGGGAGGCGAACCGGTGGTTTAAAAAAACCGCGTTATACCCGGTCCTGCACATAAGCGGTTACGTTGTAAGTGGTCTATACTGTATAATAGGGATTTTTGTACGATTCCAAGTGGCACTGTGGGTGCCACCTGGAATCGTTCAGACTACGGCTGGAACCAGTTCAGACTATGCTAGTCGCGAAAGAGTTTCGTCTTTTTATAAAAAAGTGAGGAGTCCTGTATTAATCCACAGTACAATCACGGCGATAGCTGCAACACATCACGGCGAAGTCGTTGGCTCAGTTGGCTTCGTCCTCACAAACACGCACCTCACAGTTCTCTTTGTGAGAAACGGCAAAATGCGTCGGCGGCGCCGCATCTCGCTGTTTAAGACATCCGCGTCTGCCACTTTGCTCCGCACTCTCATCGAGTTTCAGCGCGTTTGCTGCTTGGGGGCTGCTTTGGGGCACACTAACGATGACGTAATGCACAGGCCCTTCTTCTAGCTAGTATTAGACGGATGGATACGGCTGAACTCTTTTAATCGGGCGGTGGCTTGCGCCACTTGGATGAAGCTTTTAATTTTAACAATTAACTCTGATGAAATTTAGAATTAATTAAGAACGACAAAACCTTTTCTCTCGCGACGTCGCAGCAGCTGTGGCGATCTAGTAGGCACTACAGTGAAACCCGTTTAGAACGAACCCACGTACAACGAATTATTGTCGATATCGAACTCACGGAAAATTTAACTAAAAATGCATGTAAAAAGTACTTTTTATAACAGACAACATATTTGCTATATCAAACTTTTTCCCGTCGGAAAGGCTTCCAAAAACGCGCAAACAATCGCCTTCTAGCCTGTCCCTCCCCCTCCCCTCCCCAAAAAAAAGAAAGTAGGAAAAAAAGAAAATTCCAAAAGCTCAAGTTGCGAACAAAATTGAGCGAAGAAAAGCGATTCAAAGGTGGAGAAAGCTAAAAAATACACACTGCACGCATGCAAAAAAAACAAAAAAACTTTTAATTTAAAAACGGTAGTCCACGAAGAGAAGCAATTTAGAAGGGAACATAAGCTAAAAAAAAAAAAAACTGCACGCATGCGAAAAAGGAAGAAACTTTTTAGCGCAGTGTTACAAGGCAGAAGCGAAGAGATGAGAAAGAAAGAGAACCTGTCGCCTTACAACAAACACATCATGGAAGTTCGTTGTAAATGGTTTTTGCTATATCGAACAGATCATAGCGTTTCTTGCTATTCGTTGTAAACGGGTTTGACTGTACTTGAGACTCATACTCACGTTTGTTCCGCAAAAATCGTGTAATAAAACAGATTGCCAATGCTGCGGCGTAGCTCTGTGGTAACGCTGTTGCTTCACACGCAACAGATTCAGGTTCGATTCCAGAGAGATCAGGCAGTCTTTTTTTAAGCAGTTGGCAATATCATGGCAGATGCCATACGCCCCATTACGCAGACTGTAACATCAACATCATCAACTATCTACAACAACAAGAAGCAGCTATCGCTGTAAAAATAAAGAAAACAGCCCCGTCTAACCTGTTTGACCTAGAAACCAAGGAGCTGGGTTTTAGGGGGGTTTCATTCTTTTTTGATTAGACAGAGAAAAAGACTGCACCAGCAGGGATACCGCTGGAGGGGGAGGGAGGCTTTGTGTCTGCCCGCCTTTGTCTTGCCTGTATTTCGCGAGTTTAGGGTTGATGCAGGGAAACGGAAGAGTTGTCTTACTACTACCGTAAGATACCGGGCGAGCGCCCACTCAAAATTTAGAAATAATTGCGAGAGAATGGGGCATGGGCACTTGTCCGGCCATCAATTTTGCATATAAATGTACCGCGCATATTTTCTCAGATCTTACAAATTTGGTAATGGGCACTTAATGTTGAATGGGCGGATGCACGGTATTCTACAGTAGTGCAGGTTTAGGTTGCCCTGCGGCCCAAAGCTCCACAAAACATATTTCTTTTGCGCAAAGATCTCGCTAAAATAGTGTACTCAAATATGGCGTTCAGACCGTTCCAATAAAGAGCTTCAGGCAGGCGTCATATTCAGAGGTTGTGCGCATGGCGCGTGTTTTCCTCGCTTTCCAAAGACACATGCCTGTGCGTGCTGGGCTGCAAAGATTGCCTTTCCCTTTCCTCTTCCCCTCAGCTGGCTTCTGCCGTACTTACTCGCATAATGAACACACTTTTTTTCCCCAAAAGTTTACAGATATTTGAGGGGTGCGTTCATTACGCGGGGAAAAATTGTTGCATTCACAGACTTTGCGAAACTGTCATTTTAGGTGCCAATATGACACAGCAGGGTACTTTTGCACGTCTCCACTGACTGAAGCGCACCCATGACAGGTCGTGGGCGCGCCACAGTAACCATGCTCTATAAATTTCAAACTTTTTAGGGCGCTTTTGGCGTGCCTTTTGCCAAATGAAAAGCACCCTACGAAGCTCACTCAACACTGAGAGTGACGTGACCATTCTTAGGCCTAACCACTTTCACGACTTCTGTCCGAAAGCGGACCACTGATGACGGCGTGTTTGTTGACATCAATGCATCCGATGGGCAAAGCATGTGTGGGGCTGGGAAATTCCTCGACCCCAGCTTCGCTAGGTGTGCACACCGCTCACCTTGGCTTGGCTTGACTTGCCTTTACCCGACTGCTTGGCGGCAAAAGAAAATTGACTTGGTGGCCATCTAAGTTGGTCGCAGTTCGGGACTCGCGGAGCCAAAAATCGGAAGTGCGTTCATTACCCGAGGGAAAAAAAAAGTTAAAATATTGACGCCCAAGTGGGGGTTCGTTCATTAAGTGACTAAATACGGTATATAAGGTGCAAGCTGCACAGGAATAAACATTGTTGGTTACCAGTGTGGGAGCAAGTCTCCCACACTGGTCATGTGGTCACACCCTATCGTCATGTTTCCTGCAGCATCGTAACAGTGGCGACGAGGATGGGATAGTACCTCGTTGCTCTGCCCCAGCAGACATGGTCAGCTGGGGCAGAGCAAACAAACAGCTGACGAGCATTTTCCATAACAGGGGTGTTTTGAGGTTACTAACACTTCCCTTGCACAAATCCAGGAGCCAAGGATGAGTCTGCATTTAATGTGGCCCTTTGCGAACTTGGAGGACACCTGCCAATGAAAAGCAAGTGCTGCTGTTTCTGCCTCAAACTACATAAAAAAAAAATGGCCGCAACACAAAAAAGCAGTCATTGCAAAAATGTGATCGAACAAGACGAAGGTGCAGTAAAGTCTCACATTATTAAGTGAATGGCAGTTTACTATCTAATATTTCGTAATAACTCACTAATTTAAGGAATCCCCTGCCAGAACTTCAAAGTATAGTGAGCCTGCAGTTGAGTGAACATTTTCCTTATGACCTAGTTTGCTTGGGTGAGGTTTCACACGTCGGTTTAAGAACAAACATTCCATAAATACTACTTGCAAGAATATTTCTTACAAGGTGAGATAACAGAGGCAACCAATGACCAAATACAGAAATTAACTTTTTTTTTCTAACAGATTGCCATTTTGCCATTTACTTTTCTAACGCAACGTGCAGATGACGACGGTTTTCGCTCGGCCACCGAAGACTCTGTTGCAGCCGTGTTGAGGGACTTCTGTCACGAGACCTTTGTGAAAGTTCGGGCGAAGATGGCAAGTTTGGAGAAGGACAGTGAAGAAGCATCTATGGATCGCACCAGCTGAGCTGTACATCCGCATTAAATATTTTATTTCAACTCGGAAGCAAAAAGTTTCTGTATTACGCTTCAAAAATAACCAATTCATCTTAAACAACAGAAATTCTTCAGAGACAAGGTGATGTCTCCGCAAATCCCAGGATACTCCGATCCGGTGTGAAGAGCCCCTTTTCAAAGGTCACGAAGGGACGGGTAAGACTGTCTCGTGCTTATTTGTAAAAACACTAGCGTACACCTTCAGCGGTTCTTGACAGAGCTGCTCTGAAAGTTGGGCACGTACTCCGTCACGAAGATTCTGCAAAAAGAAGCGAGAGAAATGCAGCATGAGTGAATCACAAGGGCAATGTGCAGTCATGGCCCTAAGATGTGCGTCCGCTCCAAAAACTAGCCATTTCTGCCTAAGTGTTTGCAGCAGGCGTCACTTTATGGGATTTCGAGGAAGTGGTGGCCCTATAAAAGACTTCTGAGATACCCAATACAAGTTATTCTCTCATATACGACGAGAACGTACTGGCGCCATCTATTGAGGAGCCCTGTAAACATGCGTACATATCTTTTAGTATATTTTTGTCAATTGTTTGAACGATTCAGACAACGTTAGAAGCGACCGTTTCTCATAGATGGTGCATAGATTGGATCTCGCAAATACTGGAAACCTATGGTCTACTTTCACCCAGTTTCAGGGCTAGCCGATAGTTTTCCAGTGTATTCTCCTCGTAAGCATTGCAAGAAAATGCAATGCACTCCAGCACACCAAAATGCACATTTTGTGAGCCAGCCGTAGCTGTTCCATGCACGCTCGACGCCGCCATAACTCGTGCACAGAAGGCAGGCGGCAGTGCTCTGCATGTGCAAGGTGGCAGCGAGGTTGTGTCGTGGCAGCGGTGGCATAGCCAAATTGAGCTGGTGAGATGTTTCCAGATTTATCTGCAAGATCGTGAGGCTTGTTGTATGGTAAAATAAGCCAGGTAAACGCCATTTTGGGAACAAATCAACTTTATATATCTCAACATAATTACAGCCTCCAGTGAGTCCACTTAGTCCAGCGCGTTTTCAGTTTTCTTTATCCCGTCAGAAAAGTAGATTCTCTCGAAGCCGTAAAATGTGCGGCGGCGACGACATCTTATAATCAATTAAAATTTCTCCCTACTGAGCCACATCTTCAAATCAATTAAAATTTCTCCCCACTGAGCCATATTTTAAAGTTTTGGAAGTAGGAGGTTGCACGGGGCCGAGTCCGGAGAATAGGGTGGATGGGGAATCAATTCGAAGGCCCATTTTTGCTATTTTGCCATTGCAACAATCGATTTGCAAAGACTGCGTGCCTCGGCGAAAGCTCTTTCTGCGTGCCAGTCTGCTCTTTCTAGCTCCTCTTCCAAATGGTCCATTAATATTGAATAATAGGCTCCCATTATTGTTTTACCCTTTTCCAAGTAGCTGATCAGGATTATTCCTCATGTATCCCAGAATAACCATCACCTTCCCAGCCGATAAAACTACCTCCGCCTTCTTCGGTGCACTCTTACCGGTCACTGCTGCTTTGACTCGGGTATGTGGTGATAAATCCAACTTTCATCTACAGTTACGAATCGACGCAAAAAATTAGGCGGACTGCAATAAAACATTACTCAAATCTTGCACTGAAATGTCCTTTCGCATGCGCGGTCTAGTCATCAGTTTCGGCACCATTTGCGCAACACATTTATTGTGCTGTTCAGTTGAGATGCCTACCGTCTGCTAGGGCCTTTACAGCTAGGGCCACTAGAGTGGATGCAATGAACGATTATTACAATATAGAAATTCAACTTTCCTTAAGGTGAGTGTCGCTACTCTAATGCGTAGCTTACTGAGTAGCTCCAGTCTCGGCAATCTCGTCCAGAGGTGTTCAATGACGGCACCGTGAACCTTTTCTAGGATACCCGTCGTCGTGACCTCAGCCGAGCATCTGAGTCTTCTGTAGGTGTTATTGCGTCTTGTAACACGCACTTCTATGCATATCCACTCTCTTTATTCGATCGCAAAGAATGTGGTCACCAAAGCATGTAGGCAAGAGAACAGGTACCATTCAGCTATCGCTGTAACTATGGCTATAATAACTGAATGTTTTTCTCCAGCCCAAGGCGGGTGCCGGTCCCATGGCACTGCCCGGCCATATCTCGGCTGAGGGGCGAACTACACCGGTTAGATCTTGTCAGGCGATTTGATGACACCACGGAGTTTTCCGGACAATGACACTGCAAGGCAGTTGGGAAGTCCCTATAAAAGCTCTTGCCGTAAATCAGGCAGACATCCGTAACGAGCCATAGAGACGCGTCGTAGATATTTTGCCACAACTGAAGTTGTCTCAATTACCCAACCAGGCATTGCCACCGGTAAGCGTCTGCACTTGCTGAATTTTCGAGCGAGACATTTTCCACGGGCACCAGCCTCAACTTGTGCACGGTCAGACAATTTACCGACGCACTACTGCGAGCACAATAGTTCTACCTTTCTCCTTGCAGAGTAATCGAGCGAGACAAACGTCCGAAAATCTCCGCTTGCAGGCACATCAAGTGCATCCTATTGGTAACTTTTCTTGCGCCCAAGCGTCGCCAGCCTGCGACGCAAACAAGCGTTACCGCCGGACACTGCCAACAAAGAAGGCGCTCCTCACCTAGCACGATCGGCCATTTCACCGGGGTCCCAGCGCGGACTGTACGGGTAGTCAGTGCACGTGATGGTGTAGGGCCAGCCCCCACTCGCATGGTACGCGGACTGGAACGTCAGCGAAGGCTTGTCGTGCGGGAACGACCTCGGAATCGAGACTGCAACAAGGAGTGGAAGGGCCAGGTCTCTCGCACCATCGCACGCAGTAGTGCCAACATATGCGAGGTGTTTTGTTTTAGACAGATTTGTTTTAAAAAAAAGCGGCGAAAGCTGCAGTAATGCGGTCTGTGCCGGTGCTTTACATGGTGAAGGGGACATCATATAGGGGGCTAATCGTCGCAATAAGTAGAATAAAATAGCTAAAATTAGTTCATTAATTTTTTCATTAGTGAAAACAATGGTGCAAGCGAGTTGCCACTTGTGCAATGGGCACAATGCTGACGGTGCAAAAACGTGGATGACAAGCGACGGAAAAGCTGCGCAGGCAGGTTTTTGCATCACTATCCTCGTGCCTGTCGTACAAGGGGTAACTTTAGCGCATCACCACGCTTCTCAAGCACCCAAAACCTTTCTAAAATTTACACTTTCAGTAGTTTTCGATGACGCTCAGCAAGTTGCTGGTTGGAACTATGTTTTGACCTCCTCTAACTAGGGTTCCGTGTCTCCGGTAATTATTTTTTTTTAAACTCGGGGGTTATTTATCGGTGCTTATATATTTCCCTTGGAATCAGTGTTTTCTGTGTCTAATTTGAATGCAGGAGAGAAATCTGGGGTTTACTGGGCTTGTAAAGCGACTATAAATACTGGAGAAAATATTATAATTTATAAGTTATAAATTATAATATTTTCTGGTGAAGATAAAAGAAGGGAACGGAATGGGGTCTCGCCAGAAAGGAACAACCCTAAGGACAGTTCAGTACGACTGTCCCGAGTCAACAAGCAAAAAAAAAAAAGGGTGGAAGATACTTTTGCGTGATGCTGGCTTTTTTTTTTTTTTTTTTTTTTTTTTTTTTTAAATTTAGGCCAGTTTAAATTTGAGGTTTTTCGGTTTTTACCAATTAAGAGAAAACTGCCTCGGGGGTTAATTTTCGGTCCTTGTCGGTATATACCGAAAACACTGAACCCTACCTATAACTATATAACTCATTTTAAAAATTTAGTTAATTAATAGATTTATTGTGACAATTATTCCCCTATATTAGTATGTCTGCCTGGCTGTATAACTCGTCTGCAGAGACCACTTTAATGTACCTCCCACAGTTTTTATAACACCAATTTTAAAGGCTCGAATAAAAGCACCCTGTATAACGGTGCTTCTCCAGATTGAAAATAAGTTAACAAATCAAAAAGGGCACTTTGAATAGAGGATAATGTCGATAGTGGCTGATGCGAGAGTGCAAGTGTGACGCAATAATTGGCGGGCTAAATCCCCAAGACTCGCTAATTTACTTTCCCAATATTCGTCTTGGCATGCACGTCTCGATCATAGATTTGTACAGCGAGAAAAATAGGCCCTAGTGGTTCTCAAGTTACTGAAAACTGAATTCTGCTTCATTCAAGCTGGCAAGTACTACTACCAATCATTCCAGTCTTAATTTTTTAAACACAAACTAGTATTTTCTCTTCTGCATTTCGTAAGTGACGGAGACTACGGTAATATGCAGAAATACTGTGGTGAAGTCCGAAAACTTTTTCGCAGCTTTTTGTAAAGAATGGAAGAGAGAGAAAGTAGAACAGAACCGCAGTATGGCAACAATTAGAAGATTATAATTAGACATTGAGAAAAAAGACAGAAGGTATCTTCTAGAACTAAAACTGCCTAGTTCTAAGATGTCATTTTATACTTATGAATCAAATAAAATTGTTTATTTTTTCCAAAATATGTATATTGCTTATTTCTGTAGATCTCAGTTTGGCTATCATCCGTTCTATTGCACCTAGAAGCCACACGAAGGATTCTAAAGAAAAGTATGTGACCCGAAATCAAGAGGCGACATGTACAGACCCCCCGCTGAAAATGTGTGTTGCGGAAGTTTCCCCATCTAAATTTATTTCACACGGTTTACTCATCTGTATATTTGGACTGCTAAGGTTCATATAACAAATTTTATGTTTCTACACTCTTCAGTTCTGTATTATTAGTTCTGTAGTATTCAGAATAACAATTCTGAATTGTTATTCTATAATAAGTCCCAAACCAAATAAGTACGAGACATGCTAAGTGATGGTTTCCTACGTGAAGCTGACACAGACGACAGGTTTTGAGTGGCTACATCCCTCTCCCCTAAGGATGAGACACAGATCCTAGCGATGGCCTCTTCCTTCTATGCTCAACCCACGCACAGTAGGGAAGCCATACCGGGGGGCAGTTAACCATGTGCTGACAGCGAGCGTTTGCCACATTTCATT